AGTGAATATAAATTTTTTCGCTCATGCGCATTTCGTTTGTCACCGCTCAATTCTATAATATCGAATCAGTCACCTGTCGACAGAAACTCGTACCTCTTTAAGAACAATGACAAAGCAAGGTAGGTAGAAAATCAGTCACTTCAAGATCGAGCCGTGGTCTTACGCTAACCATTGTTACCACATCATCATACCTTTTCCTTCTATGTGTACGCTTTCAGTATGTAATTTTTTCTGCTCCTATTTTCGTATGTTTGATTGTATTTCGGGATTTGACTTTGTACTTGACTGGGTTCCTGTTTGCTTTCGGCTCTTCCTGCGTCATGTACATGTATCTAGATGTCTACATATATCGAGATGTGGCAACTCTAGTTGCGCATGATCTCCGTAATGCAGTACCAGCAAGTAGCTACAGCCAAAATGTCACATCGATGGTCGTCCTATTAAGTACCACAAATTTGCCCGGCTTATACCGATAATTAAATCTGACACATTGATACCAAAGCGCATAGCACGAAATATTAAAGATAGGAAATATATAGTATGTTTATAGTTCTATCCATAGGGCTTCGTGTGGATACTCGGTTGTGCGTGACAGTGTCGACATAGGAATGCTACAAACGAGATTTTCTATCGACTCATAACCCTATTATCGTTACGGCTACAGATAGAGCGGATAAGCACATAGTTAAATTGTTTTCGTTGTCAGATCTCTATTTTTTGGACCGCTACTCAAAGTGATCATCCTCACTCAAATTCATACTCAAGAGTGAAAGGTATTTCCCGAAATTATTCCGCTACGGCTAACGATATCGGAGATTCCATGATGTATCTGCGCGAACGATGGGCTTTTTAATTTAATTTTTAATTAAAAACACACACACATTTTTTTCCGACTCAGACACAAAAAACAGCTTCAGATTGACTTCTACAGGCGCCAGGTAATCGTCCTTAATGCGGACTTTGTGCTTTACAGCCAGGGGAGTATTATGGTGCGTCACCAATCACTTTGGCTGTACTATCTTGCTTTTAGTATCTAACACATTTTTGAACGCATTAAACAATATGCCACCATGACGATAGTAAATATTAAGTTCCGTATTTTACCCTATGGTTAGAAAGTTAATTTAATATAACTTTGCCATTATTGCGTTACAGCCGATCTTGACTCAAAGGGTTTGTTAACGTACTAATACTAATAATAAATCCTAACACTTCAGACAGTACCAAGCAAAGATTTATCGTTGCTCTCTGGTTCCTTATGTTTAGTCTGTATGTATATAGGTATGCAAGATTCGAAGTCATGTAAAAAATTCTATACAACGCCTATGCATGGTTTAAACTTGAGTTTGGAAGAATGAATAACCTAGGTGGCTTTTAGGCTAAGATCTGTTCCCACAAGGAGATATCGTTCTATGCTCTCTGGGTGCAAAGGCCTGTACACGGAATTTCTGTTTGTCCCATCAGTATTTTTTTCCAATGAACTGGCCATCCCACAACGACCGCCTGAAACTTTCCTTCGCAGTGAGAGGGCAGGCCACAGGGATCTGCACATGTCAGATCCATACCATAGTTATGCATTATCTTTTTATGTGTAGAAGATTACCGGATCTGGACCATACGCTTTATATTCATGATTAGTGATATAACATGTTTTTTTTTTAAATAATCTTAATTCCCATGTTCTGTGCAAATTCTTTTTTGCTCCATCGATCACTATCGATGAACGCCTGGATTTCACTATTCGTAAGGCTTTGTTGCCTTCCTTTACATAATATCTATGGCTAGTTACATATATAATATTTTTCAGATCGATGTGCTGTCAGCAATCCAATTCGCTGTATATATTTCCCGCAATGTAGAGCTTTCGCAACCTGTATTTCCGGCATTTCCAGTTATCTCGCACTTCCTCATTTTCTCTCTCTCTCTCTCTCTCTCTCTCTCTCTCATTATAGCAACTAAGATTCTTTTTTTTGTAATTATCATCATCATACTATTGTTGTTATTAGGGATGGCAGGGCGGACGAAATTCTAGAAGGCTCATATTGCCTGCTTTGTCCTAAGTTGGCAGCGCTTTACGGTTAGTGTCTGATCATGTTAGCTCAGACAGCCTTTCACAGAGATGCCAGGTTAACGTCAGGCATATTGCTATCATTAATAACAGTATTATTATAATTCACCGTATGATTATTTTCTAAATTAGGCGTCCTTGAGCTCGACTTCTAGTCCGTACTTGGCTTCGGTACCGTAGACTTGTTTATTGGCAGCGTTAGTGAGTTTTTGGAACGCCTCTCTTATGGCACCGGCCTTTGATCTCTCAAGAAGCGCGCACGCGACAAGCCTATCCCGGCCGTCCAGAGCCAGGACGCAGGCTTCCCCACCGGGAAGAATCTGGCCACAGAGTACAGGCAACGATGGCGTGTACACAGCTAAACAGACTCCTGTTAAAGTTACAACATGCAAAACAGGGGTCGATCGTTTGTACGTCTGCCGAACTTCACCAAACTACCACGCTGTTAAAAAGCGTATGTTCCCATACGTTTTTAATGCTAGTTTCGGAATAGAACGAAAGAAAGAAAAACTAACTAGATCTGGTTCTAACTCGTCATTCATCATATGCCAGGGTAGTCATTACAAATATTACGCTTACCTAATCTAGCTTCATGCACAATAACAAGGGTCGAAAATATAGTTACAAAAATATATATGTATACCCACCCTTATCAACGTCCCATACTCGAACACTCCCATCAATGTGCTGGTAGGAGCTGTACGTTAACGCTCGCCGTCCCATCTCCGGCTCAAGCCGAATTTCATCAACAGGGGCAGTGTGTCCTTTCAGAGTGTATCTGCAGTAGCAAGTAAAAATATCATTGCAATTGAAAATAAGTGTAGCGACATGAAAACAAACGAAAGTTACGCTGCTTAAAAAAATAGTCTAACAATGTGATAGAGACCGAGATAGTCTAGGGAAGAGGGGATTATCTGATGAAAAGAAGGAATTTGCATATATCAACTTACTTCCTTTGTCCGGTGCCAAGATCCCATACGACAAGTAAGGCGTTATCAAGTCCATTGAGAACAAGTGATGCGGCTGATGATACCGCGATGCTTACAGAACTCCGCTGTGGCTTCCACTAATATCAGACGATTTTGTTGATGTTAATAACTCTATCAAAAATTCAGTTATGACATACCTACCTGCTACTCCTGATATAGTTGGTGCCACCTCAACAACCCGAAGGGAAGTCAAGAGATCCTACGTTATCTTTTGTAAACCACTTAAAATGATACCGCAGCGATTGTTTAGCAGTGTCTCGAAGTTTTAATCAGCTTCAGCTTTGCGACAGAGTTAACTAATTTACAAACTCATCAGTTATGTTATGCTCTACCTTCTTGAATAATGTTCCACTTTGTAAATCGTAGACAATGATAAAGTTGGGCGCGCCGTCAGCCAACTCTCGGCAAACGCATACTACATAGTGGCCGTCAGACGAAATGGCGGACAATCGGGTCAGAAACTCGTGATGTGCTATCCGCAGATCGTAGAGAAGTTTTCGTTTATCCAAGTCCCATACTAGCAAAGGAAATGGCTTTTGAGTCTCGTCGCCACAAACGCAAATACGTCCGTTTGCTGACACTAATAAACTGTTCAAGAAACGATCTTCTCCGACCTGTTTGCATTAAAGTACCGCAACGTATTTTTCGTGTTAATTTAAAGCAAGCTACGATAAATACTTATATTAGGATACGATTAGCAATGAAATGGACAGCAAGAAAATATTAGCTTCAGGTATTTTGAAGGACTATAGCTACGTACCTACCGCCGCTACACTATAATAGAAGGATGCAATTCATAAGATCATTGTAGCGTTTGCGCTAAATCTGCTTGTCCGAAGAGGGCATTTACCTTAAAAGTAGTTTCAAGGTCGCCACTCTGTAAGTTCATCATGTTGACATACATTCGGTTACGTGACAGTGCAACTACGTAATCTGGTGAGTGTAGGCCAAAAAAGGCCATTTGTTGATGCATCACGCCTTTGAGTTTGACCAGTAAATGTCCTGCATCCAAATCGTAGACACGCAACTCTCTGTTGCACAGCACCAGTACACGCCGATTATCGATCAGTCGAAGCTCGCGTGGTTGGTTCAGACCTAAAATGGGTATCAAGGAAAAGAAAGAGATTATATAGATACGGTCTAGGCTTAATCGATCAACAGTCCATCATACCAGTAAGGTAGCGTTCGCTTCAGCTAGCAATAAATGTAATCAAACTTACCGTATATTCTTCGTACGGCTTTCTGTTGAATTGCATTCCAAACACAGATTTCGGCGGCATCCTCAGAAGTAGATACGAGATGGATGCTGTCTCCTTTCATCACGTAAAGATTGCTCAGTTTCTTAGCCCTGCTGTCAATCTCTGGTCCCAACTTGGCAGGACTATCTCCGAATGCTGCAAAGGTCGCCGAACAATAACAATTTACATAATTGACTATTACATCTAATGAAGAGGTATATCTGTCATGTACATTTTCAACACATTTCATAACGTCATATTATGCAACCCAGTACATAAAGCACCTTAGTAATTTTTCTCAGGAAACGTATGTAAAAGTAAGTCCTGTTTAGACAGACCTAACGAGCTTATGGAATCTAGCGGGATGAACGTGCCAACTCGCGAACGCCATCTATCCGCATGAAGAAGCAACGATTTAAGCCTGTCAAATTTATCGCCTTCGTCCTTAGCAGACCACACGTGTTCGGTCAGTTGCGCAAAGAGTTGAGCTGCATCATAACGCAGTGCGAATGCGGCATGCTCAAGAACAGAGCGAAGCGTCCGATCGTTCACTAGGCGGAGCTCCTCCAGAACAGCATACGGATCCGAAAACTCCAACGATAGACGTTTAGAGAGATAGTCCAAATCATAGTATGTGTTCGGAACCTATAAAGATGAAAAATTATTTGCAGAAAACTGCTGTTTTAGAAATTGACTTAAGAGAAGTCCACTGTCATTTTCACAATAAACTGTGGTCCACGTAGTAAGAATGACTGTTTAGAATATCGAATCAACTAAACAGAACATGATAGAGTTGCACTCTCAGTAATAGATAAAAACTAGTAGATAAAAACAGTTCTCTAGTTTATCATCTGCATGCGAAATTGGCCGCCCTTTATAAATTGAAAAGCTCGAACGGCAGTACGAACCATTTTGTTGTTACGTATCTTTTGAAAAGCCAGTTCATCCTGTACAAGCACAGAACATTCCTTGTTCCAGTGCCGGTCAAAGAAATCAAACAGGACGTCATGCCATTTAGCGGCCAAGCCACCGCTAGCAACCCCAAGTAGCGAGTAGATAACTCGCCCAGCATGGTTCTGCACGATCAGACGTCGCTGGTTCACGGCGGCGAAAACTGCCCAAATCGCATATGGAGCATGTCGGCAGTCACTCGCCTACAATTCCAAACAAACAAATTGAACAAAAACGAAGCATGTTAGATATGTTTGTTTGCATAACTTTTACGAAGGTGGCACAAGGAATAGAGAACAATGCTCTATACGCTCAATAAACGAATGTTAAACTAAATCCATTTAAACACAAAAAGTTTGCAAAGGCAGATAGCTCGGAACGCGGTTAGAAGTGAACACTGCCGATAAGTTCGCTATAGAAAAAGAAAAAAACAGAAAGAGAACATCTAAGCTTACTAAGCCGTTACTAGAAAGGAAATACAGAAACATGGGTCTTCTCGTACCTGCATAGCGTCAATTAGAGGACAATTATTCCTGAAGTATGACGGCTTAGTCGATAAAAGGTCCATAATATCTCTCTCCATCAAACCGTAACGAGAGCAAGCCAGCACTCCCTCGAACATTGCTTGCGCCTCAGCAGAGATAAGTTCATCAATATCGAATACAGGTGCCTCTTCCATCTCAGGGTCCATTTTTACTGATTCTTGCAGCTCCACAAGTGACTTGTCTAAATTTCCAACAGCCTAAAACGTATGCGTGCTAAAATAGTTAACATACGTCTAATAATATGAACTGAGAAGATGTGTTCACAGTAAGTAAGTAAGTTTACAACAGTTCTCTAAGCGTAATTCAGTTAACAATTTTGAGAACATGCCTATAGGAGCACGATGGTACCTTTAGTCGATCACACATTGTGCTTCCGGAATGTGCCAGTATAATTACAGCGACATTTGATGCGAGTGTTTCAGGTATAAGGTCACATAGCCCGCCAAGATTATCACCTACAAACAATCAGAAACATCGTCTCAACTATTCACCAGTAATTCGAGTTTCACGTCTGCTACTGCCGTGCTTCAGACCGCTGTAGGAATTGAAGGGACATATTCAAAGTACTATATTGACAAGCTCAAAAGAACATTGACACTTCCGACGATTGAATCCGTAAGGTACGTTCTAAAGCTGAAAAGCAATGATTACTTACCATATTGCGCATCAAGAAGAAAGACGTATTCCTGACAGTTAGTCTTCTTGTCCATTTCGTTGCCAGCTGGCTTTGGTGGCGTAAAAGGGTGTCCCCTCATTCGATGTTCCTCAAAGCTCAAACTGCCCTCGCTCGCGCTTCTGCCTGTTAGAAAGCATAGCTGTTCCTGAAGCGAGCGCACGATTCTTTCAACATTGGATGAATTCACTGTACGATTACAGAAACGGTAGAGGATAGCGCGAGGCTTCAGGAGAGATTCGCCATCGGAGGCTGACGAGCTTGTCATTGCTTCTATTATTTGCGCAGCCATATGGCTTACGTTTTTATTCGAGTGCACAATAAATAGTTTGCCACAAGCCAACCTATAGAAGGCCATTTTGACATAGAAAATAGTTTCTTTTAGTTATCAAATCATACCACTCGTTGCAATGTCGCTTATATGTATATAAGCAACGCTACAATATAAGCTTAATGATTTCAATATTCATAACGGTATTGAACTGAGAACTTGCCTCTGAGAAAAAAGTTTGCAGAACTCTGCTTCTCCAGTTGTCATCTCTTCTTGGCGTAATAACACCTCCTTCAGTCGAGATTGTTCACACAGTTCGAGATATAACGAATCTGGTACTCCTCGTGCAGGAGAGCTGGCCTCAACTTCTAGATCTTCGTCGCGGACCTATAATGGTAGTTATGCATATGAAATTACGATTACTGGTCACCGGCAAAGCAAAACCTGCCCGTACAAAAGACCATCTACTTACCCCTTTGATGAGTTCTTCGAGAGCTTCTCGTACGATTTTCGCAAGCTCGCTATAGTAGCCAGGATTATTCTTACTTGTTCGAATAATCAGCTTTTGGGCAGAAGTCAAATTGTCCTCCAGCAGGCCTAAAACATGCAAAAACAACAATAACTTTATCCCTCACCTACAGGTCAAATCAGAATTGCTACGTACTAAATTTGAAACCACTCGTGCTTTTCTACGCCGTTACACTAGGCGACGCAAACGTTCGTTAAAGGTCCTTAACACATTCATACTTAAATCTCATAATATAACTATTAACATAACATGTAAATTATTTCTAGCCAATAGATTCTAGTCGTATGCCCTATGTGCACTAATTTCTTACCTCCAGCGGTACAAGTTAGTACGCTCCTAGGGAGTATGTATAGGTAGGTGTATATGTATATATGCACAACAATGATCGAGTACGAAGAGTGTTGAATAATGATGTTTTTTATGACGATGATTACTACATACTATGATTTTACCCAATGGAACCGCGCTAAATAATTACAAACCTCTCAGGTGGTTGTACCGCTTAGCCTGCCATCCATCCGTATCGTTTTCAGCCGACGCACCGTTCGAATCAGAGCTCTTTTGTCGCTCCTGACTACAAGCTCCATCTGCGAAAGAGTTCGATAAATAAGATGATCTAAAACTAAAAACACAGTACGGTTGTGTTCCTCATTTACATTCGCCCCACGATGGCTTTTCTTTAAGTCCAAATAAAATAAGAATCCATAACTATCTGTAAGCACAGTGATATATATAGCCAGAGAAAGTTACACAGTCGCCCTATGTCCAACTTAAAAGACACAGATTGGTAACAACTGGAATACCTAACACAACTAGTTTCTTCTACTTAGGTGAAAAAAACACATCCTATAAATTGTAAATTCTATATAGATGTGCACAAACCTGTTGTTTGAGAAACCCCATAGATTCTTCGCTCTAACCAAATCGCATGTTTACCTCTAAGACTATCCATGTCCTCGCCAGCCGTACTCAAATCGGATGGAGTAAATACCTTCAATATACGCAGAAGAGCGATTTCAAAATGAGAGTCACTCATTACAGATGGTTAAAACCATCGTTCAAATGAATCAAAATGACCTCGAACAGATAATGGATCAAGACTAGCGTTAAATTGGAAGCTCCTTGCATTGACAAGATGCTATATAACAAATCGAGTTTTTTTTATTTTATCACACCTTTAATTCTAGAGAAGCATGTTTTTCGGATGTACCTCGACATTGCTGTCTTCTTCTACTGAGTACATTTTAATATTGATATAAAAACGTTCTTTTGGCTAAGGTCCAATGATTTGTAGCTTAAAGTTTGCTCTGGTAACCCGCTCGTCACTTCAGGAGGCAACTGACGCGATGTCCGCTTAACGTTACGCTAATAATTTAAAGAAGTGTACGGCTGTATGCTTTCACAAACAATCTAGTAGATATACTTTAAATGATGTGACAACGCCTGCAGTGAGCTCGGTAAATACCACGAAGTTAAAATACACTAGGGATTTACTTTGATCTTTATATGAACCAAATAAATAGATTAGCGTGATGTATTGTTGGTCTTACTGTCAGACGCACAGATCAACCTCTATAAAAGCTTCATTCTATGCTGTTCCGATGCTTGGGATATATATATTTAAAAAAAAAAAAAACAAAAAATATTAACGCTATGATAAGCGCAAAATTGATTTATTGAACATGTTTAATATATGCTAAATTTAACATGTTCAATAGGCCACAACGATCCTGTGTAACTGAGGGACGAAGTAATACGCTGTCATGGAGAGTTGTCTGCCGATTTTAAATGCGTACAAATAATGCAATGGTACGCTAATTATCACACCGTACCATTGTTAATACTATCATTGTTTATAATGCTGAAATATCTGAAACATGTTTAGCGGAACAAAAATAACTTAATGGCTTTCTAGATTCAGGGTTCGCATCCATAAAAAAAAACGTATGGATATCTTCTCTGTATATATGCAAGCAAAAAAAACTAAAAGAGAATAATTGGATGCGATTGTTTTCAGTCTTGCATTATTAGATAGTTATATATAATCTTGAATTATTAGATTCGAAGATGATTCATAAGTTAAGTGACAAATACTTACGGTGGCCTTCAGTTCGCTCTCGATAAGAGAGACGAGGTACTTGTCTTTCATAGCAGGGCTCAATCCGGCCAAAAAGGCCTCCACCAGTTGTGTATGAAGCTCATTCGTGATATCATCGACACGAGGCTCAAACAATCGTGCCATTGTTTTTTCACTTCCTGTACAATATGCAAACACGAAATCGCATTCAACAAAACTTTAGCCAGACCTCACTGCCCGATTTGAAAAATTCCCTATTAAAAGTATTCAAAATGGAGAATAGCAACGTATCGACTGATTTCTACTAAATAGTGATCGAAATTATTAGACTCCATTATGCTTCTATGCCACGAGCGCTGATATACTAGCAAAATACCTTCAGAGCTAATTTTGTAGAACCTTTGTACAACCGGGGCGTGTTCAGGACAGTTAGCCAACAGGGCATTAAACACGTCCTGAAAATAGATCCCAAAACATATTATAGATTAGTGCAGTAAATCATCTGAAACGTTAAACTCTTATAAAATGCTTATACAATGTCTTCCAGAGACGATATCATTACAGAATGAGAACATATGGAATTTTTTTCAACGATAACCTTATCTCGAAAGAGACTCACCTCTGGAAGTTCAGGCGGTAAAGTATACTGGAGTCGATGTGCTCTCTCATCCAAAAGAACTAGCGCTACAAGCTTTCCCTGATTTTTAAGCCGATTGATTGTCATCCGGGATAAAGCTTCCACCTATATAATATGTACACAGATCGGATTATTGTTACAGTACGCGAAGAAGCCACACTGTCTACGCTGTGTCTATCCCTTACTTCACAAACCACCCACCACACAGCCCTCATAATCACTTTGACTAAAAAACTATGTCCGTTTACAAATTAAATTTTTACTTTTATTACTTAATAGTATGATTCAACAACTATAACCACCTAAATACATAATAATATCTCCTAGTAATGCTTACAACTTTGTGTCACCCTTGCTTATTTATTTGAGTTAGGTACATCTTATAGGGGGAGATATTTCATCGCAAAGAAACTTTGTACCTTAGCATGCGGGATTTTCCGGTAGTTGAGTGCCCAACAGAGGTCAACGAAGTTGAGTGCATACCTGTAACAAGTTCTATCGAATTTTATCTAATTCGTTCGTGAAATGGAAATGGTAACATCTAAAAATGAATATAGAAGTACTGCTCATGACCTTATATACTGAATGATCGAAGAAGTATTGACGGTTTCACATTCAAATTAACGTAATTTTTTTTTATATTTGATGATTTTATATTTTTATAAATGAATATTACCGAAGTAAATATGCACCATTCTGACTTTCCGTCGTTTTTTCGTGGTATCATAGCTTCATCATTGTCGGACTTACGCGCTTCCTGACCGAGAAATTGTAACAAGTGATTTTTGCGTCCCTTCATTGAAGCTAAACACACACCATTAAGAGAGGCCTGCAGAAACTGAAATAGATAGTCTCATGGTGCAAAACCAAGCTATATGGCAGATGTCTTAAAATTTTTAGCCAAGGTCCTCTCAATTTTTGTCGGATAGTTAAAGATTCTCTGATCTGGAATTGCTATACAAACCCTACTGTTTACTAGTTTCGGTCTGTTTTCTTCAGTGGTTTGATGCATCTTTGTTAATTGTTGATGGTAGCAGTCTAAATCGATAATTTTTCCGGTGTAATTGCTTTATTCTGGTGCCAATAAGCACGTAGTACCACCTGTTTCGGCGTCCGTCCGGGCTTTGTCACAAATTAGGAAGCTTGTCCTTGCTTTGACTATGATATTGTCGTTTGTGATCCACCTTTGATGGGCCGTAGTCAATCGCTTTAAAAATCGCTAGATTTCGCTGTGTTTCTGTAGATGTTCGCAGATGAAAGTAAAATTTCTCTGCATCAAACCATATGGTAACCAAACATCGAGCATCATTTCGAATCTACCGTTCTTTAAATGGCTTGGAACTGGTCGGCATGGGACGCTTAGTCTTCTATGGCTACTCACATGTTGATCTGGCTAGACGCCCCGATAAATTGTTTGTCGATCGATTAGTACGGTGAGCATCTTTCCCATCGGAATTTCTAAAAAAAAAGCTATCTTTGGGCCGTTTCCTTCGATAACGCACCTGACCATAAAGGACAAACTAGTTTCGGAGCCTAAACAGCACGTGTAGTTTTGTAGAACTTTCACTTATATTCGCGGCGCTTTGCGTCAAGTCTGACTAAAGGCATTCGAGCAATTTTTACAAGCATACCTGCTACAGTCTAATCTCAACCTCTGGATGACACCGACGCCGATCCAACAACTATTATCTAGGAAACCCGTCAATACTTTTTCGATTATGCAATATTACAACTGGTAGTTGGTGTAAGTCTGCCCGTCCAATTCGGTCGAACCCGTTTTTGATCCAGACAGACCTTTTTGCCGTTATCCGTGAACGGAGTCGATGTACGACTATTGTCAGCTGAAGGCAATGCACTCACACGTCCGTAAAAAGCGAAATGTTATATCTCATAATACCCTATTATATAGCTTTTTTTTGTTTACCGTGACGTAGCAACATTGAAACCACGGAAAAATCAGAAAAATCTACGATGTTATTACTAATGTCGAACCTACGAACCCTATCCTCTGTGCGAATTCTCGTACGTCCTCAAAGACATTTTCCATCAGGTGTTTCCTCTCCGGCAACCAATCGCTAGTAGAAATCGTGTAGATGGTAACCTGTTTCGAAATATTGGCAAAAAGCTGTTCGACGGCCGCTCCACCAACTGCACCCGCGTTCGCGCTGAATTGTTGTCCAAACTGACATGGCTTGCGACCCCTCAGTAGATGCCACACCGCCTCGGGAAAAATGCTCTGAGCTACTAGTTCGTCGTCGGTGGGACCAAACGGCGGCTGCGCCTGCGGAGCAAACACGCACCCAACGAACGTTTAAACTATCACCTGCTTCCTATGGCAACGGTGTTGTTATATGTACCCTCCCTTCCTTTCCCGCCTTAGCGTATACTTCAAGTATCCAGATGTGGACTGACTGAGGCGCCTGTATAAACCCGGTAACACCCCAGGAGACGTTGTGCCGTGTATTGACTCCCTCTCACTCACGTGATGACATTCATCTCAAAAGCTTAGCTCAGTTAATCTAGCCATTTTCAATCCCGTCAATGCAAAATACCTGTTGATTAGAGTTAATATCAGGCTCTTTTCTACAAACTTTGCTCGTTTGTCCTTCGTACATGAATTTGTATATAAGAAATAAACCTGAAATCATCGTAATGGTAAAATGAATGACTTGAAGTTCCGCCTGACCGGAGGAGGTGCGGCTGATATGCCGTGTGAATGCTGGACTGCAGCAGAAGTTGGCTGTGACGTTCTCTGCTTGGTGTTGTTTTGGTGGCCTGGTCCAGTGCTCCCCTGGCCACCACCTCCCGTGGCCGCCACGTCGCCGTATGGAACAGACTCGGATGAGGCTCGTCGGCCTCCTGCGCCAGCAGTCTCTCCATCTCCACTCCTACGTTGTCCAATTAAACATAAACAACGAATGCATGACGTTGGTACCTACTTATGTATCATATCTACGAGACACTACAAATTCGCATAATTCTAGTTGTTAACAACCTGTTAATTAAATACATTTCTGTATCCCTCGAACTATGTAAACGAGGGCGTATTTCGAGTCATTAGGGACACATTTTGCACGAGGTGCCAAATACTTTTCCAAGTGAACTATTGCAATTGCATTAAAACATTTTTATATCATCCACGTACGACTGTGTTTACGCACCCGGAACGCTTCTTCTTCTGAGCAGATGAACAATTGGCTCCCATTATGTTGTTACTCTAAGATAGCTTGTAGATGAGCGGATGCCGCTGGGCCCTCAAATGACCTCGCCTACTAAACGAAAATTGTTAACGTAAGCCGACGCTTTCTTTATGAGTAGCTGCGAAGCTAGAAAACAAGCAACAAACACACAATGATATTGAGTGAAATCTCTAGATGGCAGTGAGAGGAATCCAAAGATGCTATACGGAGAATTTAAAACAGTCGCTCAGTTTAATTGAAATCAGGAGAAATAATCAGTGTAATGATGTGTCCATGAATACTTGAGAAGTAGCCACTCTTGTCGTTGTTAATGATTTGTGGATTACGCGGCCGGTAGCAAGATTAGTGCACGAGGAGTCTGCTTCATGCCGTTACACTGTGAGCACTTTGTTAGCCCCCCGAATAAAGGGAATTTTGTATCGTACATCGTAGAAACTAGAGTACGCCAATTTATTATTAATAATTCGTAGCATTAATAGAATTTGTAATTCTATTAATGCTACGAATTCTATTTCATGATTTTCGAGGTATCGACCCTCAGCGGACTGACCACTAAAACACTGGGGATGTTGCCATTCTGTGGCGATGATCATCCTTGAAGATATCGAATGGATTTCAGACTGTTTTCTGTCGGCGTCCGTCATCTGACTATAGCCTCCATGTAAGATGAATTGCTAAAACGACACAATCAATCGACTCTGCTGATTATCGGACCAGAGACCAACAATGAACGTGTTATGGACGGACAAAGGTTGGACGATCGAGTCGTAGAAGAATAGACACAAGCACCGTGAAATGTTTTCCGCGTATAATTACTTGATGAACTTCCAATGAATTATAGAACAGCTTGCCTATTACTGGCTGTGAGAAAATTATCATTTATGATATTTCACGGCTCATAGACGAAAAGTAAATGTTGTAACTTTTAAGCCCCTTTTGTTGATATTATGATGCCTAATGTACAGATGATATTTTTTTTTTATATCACTTAGAATAGCCTATTTCACTCCTTTTCACTGTGCAAACATTTTATATAATAAAATATTAAAAATTAGCGATACCAGCCAGCTTCGATGGCTAGACAACGTTTTAGTAAATTAGTTTTTGAAATAATTTCGCCGGTTAACGAAATGCGTGATAATGTGCATAGCATTATTTCATGCCTTGGATCTGAATAGGGTTTTCCTGCCGTCTGATTGCGCTACGCCGTTGCTGGGTTCGGACGCAGCAGCTTGAATTAATGCAGTACTCAATGGAAAACTTCCAGCGAAGAGTCGAGAAGCGTTTGACATATGGCAAAACTCAAACGACGCGTCAAGACGTGACGAAAGCAACACATAGACACAGATAGGCATTATCGAACAAACACTAACGAATTTAAAAAAAAACAACCATAGATCCCAAGATGCGTCTGCGGAAACACTTGAATTCATTATAGTACTGGTACCGACGCTCTCTTTCTCTTTCTAAAAATATACCGCAAGCTACTAAAGAAAGATTTTTTCTCGAAACAAGTTCATTACATTCACAGCAGTATTCATCAGCATCATCGTCACTATCCTTTTAGGCTAGGTTGACAATACAGGATGCTGCTTTTCCACATTTCCTTAGCCATGATGTTGCAGTTCCTTACCAACTTAGGCTACAGTCTAACGACAAACGCTTTCCGCTACTCTTTCGTCTTCTGACACTAAGTGACGGACAAGTGGGACCTGACGTTTATGCAAGCGATGCTTAACACAAGCATTCAGCTACAAGAGGAACCATAAATATATTATAGAAAAAAACTGTCAAGTGACGTTTTTTAAAAGTGACAAATACAACTGTTAGCAACCATGCGATATTGTTCAACCGGCCGGCACGAGGCGGTAAAGAGAATTGTGCAAAAAAATCAGGTTAATCTCGCAATTCAGATTACTCTCTAAGTTGAGGGAAAGGCAAATTAATATGAATCCTCGTATAAGCCACTTAGGCACAGCGAGCTATCTTTTTCTCATATGAGTACAGAGTCAGTTTTAGATAGCGTTTTTTGAGACATTTATCGTCCAGTCTACTCCTTATTGAGTAGCATCATGGCTGGCTGTCAGCCGAAACAAGCCATTTCGTAAATGGTAGTTGCCGGCCAATCGCTTAACTACTTGCTACCGGGCTATTAACCAGTTTCTAGCGTAGTTTGGTGTTGCACACACATTTGGTATAGCTCCACGTACACTACACGAATGAAATTGTGGCCCGCTAGTTTATCGGATGCCTCCTTTAATTACTCGACTAATGGGCGCATTGTTTGCACCTTCTCAGATAAAAGTTCCTTCTTATCATATACGTCAATCTAAATGACTATTTCGACGCGAAATTCACGCCTGCAGATTTCGCATTCATCTTCTCCAAAAATGGTAACAAGCTATGCGTATTTTATGTGTAACATTGTTGTTAAATTATACTATGACAAGAACACTCATAAAGGAGGGTTCTGACGGCGGGCAGAAGGCTAATAAAGAATCAGCCATCAATAACCTTGCTAATCACTTGGTAAAAGCCACGTTTTTAAATACCGTAGCCGTAAGGTGGGCCTTCCGTCGATCTGAGTCAAATCGTGAGATCTACAGATGCACGCGTTTATCGTGCTTACAAGAATTCTTTAATGGGTGCGCTAAAGGTGTCCTTTAATTTTAAATAGCATTAAATTGAACTATAAACTTTTGCACCATAATGTCGCTGTTTTGCTCTAATGGGTTTTGTTCGCGTTGTGGTGCTGCATGGTGATGATGGCCATCATGTTGTCGGCCCTATATTGCGGACCACTATCCGTTATGGTGCGAGCGGGCGGGCGCGGAGTCCCGCAGGGACAATAGTAGTGTTACTCATGAACGGCTAGCTGGACGCTCGCCCGGTCGTCAGCTAACTCTTACGGTGTAAGCGATAGCAGTATCGAGCGGCCGGACAAACAAGTTGTCAAAACACGTGCGAATATTTCAATTCACATCTTATGCATCCTAGCAACAATAGGCAGTAGGTTAGCTAGTTGCTTGGCTGGCTTATTGATATAGCGGTTGGATGATACAAGAAATAATGGCAAAGCTACTGTTGTCGCCATCATTAGCAATAGCAGCATGGGTCGTGTGTGCTGCTAGCAGTTGATGATCCTACACAGCAGGAGCAGCGGCCGTCAAAGTAGTGGTTGTGTCCGGGGAGGTTATTGTTGAGGGTGACGAATTCTTTGGCGAACTGTTCCTCCGCTGTCTTTTAGCAGTCGAATCAACGGCAGTAGCTCCCATACTAGGAAAATATCTGCCAAGGATCATGACGGCGGTGGCAACAAAAGCAGCGCTCACGCCCAGCGGTCGTACGACCGTCAGATTGCCGATTGTACGCTTGTATTATGGTAGACCAATAGGCAACTAACCCATCATTGCTAATGCGTCAGCGAGAAATGAGGTAGTTTGTGGTAAGAGCACGACGACTGTGTGACTGTGTGACGGCACGACGACTGACAGTGGCTCACGGCACCTAGACAATTATGCGCATGCACCACAACACCAGGAGGCTGTCATACGCGTCCACAATCAGACCCGGAGGTAAAACATACGGTCGTAACCATAGACCAACAACTCGGTCGACAAGCGAACAGCTGAAGGCACACGAATATCAGAAAAATGACGTGGCGCCAGGGTGGGTCCGATTCGAGTCCAACCCCTTTAACCTCTCCCGCTTTCCTGGGGGCAGTCAATGGAGTCCCTGGTGGTAAGGCTATTCGGGGAAGGATTAAAGTTGTCGAAGGAAATTCAGTGACCGTAGAGCGTCTCGTAGAATAGGGAATGAGCATGAGAAAAAGGAAGAACTGAAGGAACGGTAGACGATGACGCGCGGCGCCGGGGGTACAAAACGGCAGGTTCACAAAGCGATAAACTTCTATTCTATTCTATTCCAGTCACTATGGAATAGAAAAGAGCAGACTAAAATCGCACAGAATAGTACAAGGCCAAGTGAGGCTGTAGCCATATATGGAAAACTCGAACAGCTGGAAAAAATAAATAGCCCGCTCTTTATATATGTCTTGGGGAGAAAGGAATACAGTGCTGCAGGGCTGTTGTTGCAAGAACACCTCCCATGGGCAGGGTATGTATATACTCGCCGAATTACGAACCCCTTAGCCTGCAACTATGGCAACGCCTGCTTGGTCAAGCCGAAGCGCGTTACTGGTAAATGTGGGTGTGGTGAGCGAACTGGACACTGTTTCATACCACGAAATGACGCAGACAAACGAAAAGAACATTATACTGACCAACAGAAATGGCAGTATCATTTGCTCCCCTTACTAGTTACGATTTTAGGTATCAATATGTCAATAGCTCTGGTGATCGTTTCTTTCTTTTTTTTACCTCCCACGGTGATAGCAAAACCGGTTCATTAAAAGCTCATTTTCATATTCTGTATTTATAATAATAGATTGCTGTACTAGATTAGCATCATACAATTAAATGATCGAAGAATTAACGAAGATTTAAACTGCATTCCCAAAGTCTATTGTTGTGAATAATACTATCAGAGTGAATGAAGGAGAGGTAGACACGGATCAATTGCAGTAAGGTAGTCATTAAATAACCTTGACGGTTTACATTACCCCAGCGAAAAGTCTGATCAGGCAAAATCGCCGACAGAAATGTTCTGTTGTGACTCGTTGCAGCTGCTTACGAGTAGACGCCAAAGAATCACTGGCATTGACGAAGCGGAAAAATTACTTTAACGAATATACACTAAAGCGAATACACGTGTGTTCCTGACGGGAAAACAGTCAATAGAACTGCCAACCATAGTCGAGCTTGCCTCCTCATTCAGAGATCACCATCAGTGGGTTTTTATCACATCCACTGACTATCTATGGCCATGGCAGAAATTCGAGGCTGCAGTCCACAAGCTTAAGGCCATAGGCAATATTATAAAGATGTTTGCGGTAGCACACGCATCATACTCCTCGCGTTTGCTACAGCTGGTTCGATGTAGCGTGTTCGGAAACCGCGCAGTAGGTGGGTAACTATGAGCCTGGGTGTGGAAGAAGAAACGCAGCTATGCGA